ATCAAGGTTCTGGTTCCCTCATTGCACCCACTGTCAGGGAGGCCACTTTCCCTGGGCTGAAAGGAAGCTGAAGAGCTTCCTTTTCTGTAAAATGGGAATAGTAACCCTTGTCCCATGACTGGTTCTGAAATCATGGAATGCTTGAAGAAATTCTGTGAGGCAGAGTGTCGGAGTTCTGTTCCTGGCTCTGATGCTGTGTCACTTCAAACAAGAGTCCCCTTCTCTGTATTTTTCCTTCTGGAAAATGAGAGAATTGGGCATGGCCTCTTAGGTGCTTCCAGCTCTGACATTTGAGGATTCTAAGGTCATTCAAACATCACCTATTTGTACCTGCATCTCATTTTACCTGCTAAAAGTGTGTTTGACCACAGAATAAGAGGGAGAATGGGCTGGAGGCTGCCAGGTGCATGCTTATGTTGAGCTGTGGGATTTTGTAGGAGAGGGGTTCTGGCTGGGCAAAGGCATGAGAGAAGTCCAGCAGAAGGCAGTGCTTGAGCTGGGCTAGGCATGTTCTGCCTCTTAAACAGGCATACCTCAGAGATACTGCAGGTGTGGTTGCAGACCACCACAATAAAGCAAGTTAGAGCCTCTTTGCTGGTCTCAGAGGGTCTTGCCTTCAATTTGTAAAAAAAAAAAAAAAAATCTGTGAAGTGCAATAAAAATGTCTACACAATTTTCTGGAGAGTAGAAATAGTACGGATTTTAGAGCCACAAACACCTGGTTTTAATCAGTCTCCATCACTCACTGCCTGTGTAATCTTGGTCAAGTTACGGTACTTTCTTTGAGCTTTCGTTTCCTCATCTGGACTCAGGATAATCATACTTACACAGCAGGATTATGGTGGGATTAAGTGAGGTTATGTATAAAAAAGAAAACAACGCCCAGTACATCGTAGGCCCTTAATAAATATGAACTTTCACCTCCTCATAATATCTGAATCACTTTTCTTTTTGTGAAAACAAGACAGATGCCCAGCTTCTCCCTCAGCCGCCTATGGTTGGGGTTCTGGCAACAAGGAAAGCACCTTCTGGCTGTTTCAATAAGTAATAGGAGTAATCCTCTAATTTCTCACTTGCTGTGTGAGGCATTGTGTAATCTGCCAGGCTCTTTTCTGACCATTGTTCCTCACAGCAGTCCTAGAAGGAAGTCAGAAGCTAGAGGAGTTCTCAGTTTCACAGGTGAATGAAGAATAGGAGGCCCTGAGAACAGGCACCTGTTGGTGGGGGTGGGGCACAGCATGGGTTTGTTGGGGTGGGCTTGAAGGCTCTTTACTTTTCTTCCCCCACAGCCCACAGTTTTGCTCCAGATTGTTTGCTTCTGCCTGGTAGCCTACCCCTCAGGCCACCTTCTCTAGGTCTGGCATCAGTTCTGCCAGAAGCATTTGCTTGACATTTCTCCAGCCTCTGAGCTCATCTCAGATTTAAACAGGACTAATTGGAGGCTGGTTGGGACTGAGTCACCACCTTCACTGGCTTTCTAATCCCAGCAGTAGCTAGACACACCCAGAGGGTCACTGAGTGAGACCTGCTGGTTGTGGACACTACACAGGACAGGCTTTCCTCCCAGAGCTCCGATGGGCTCAGGAATGGCTCCCTGGGCCCCTATAGGAAGGCCACAGTGGTGGCTCCATATGTTGTTCTTTACTCCCCAGGGACCTGGAAGCATAAGCCACATCGAGCAGTTATTGGCTTGGCTTTTCCTGCTCCAGGCCTTTATTCGTACCCTCCAGCCTCTAATCTCCCCTCTGAGACCCACGTGGTCACATGCCAGCTCCTCAAGGAAGCTCTGCTGTCTCTGGAGGCAGGTTGCGAATTCAGTCCTGGGTCCACTCTTGCAGATAGTATGACCTTGTCAGGTCACTTTACCTTTCTCTGCCTCCGTTTTCTTCCCTGTTAAATTGGGATGGAAATGGCTACCTCACAGGTTGCTGTGAGGATGAGAACACATGTAGTAACAGCCTCTCAAGAAACGGGAACCTGTTGACTGTACTGCTGTTCAGTGGGTGTCATGCACTGTGCTGGGCAGCCTGTGGCGTTATCCCACTGCATTATTGCATCGATCCTGTGATATGGGTACCAGTATCCCCACTTCACAGGTGAGGAAACTGGTCCCTCCTTACCGTCTTTGTTTTGGGCAGGATTGGTTGTTTCTAGAAGCAAGTTACCCTTCCCCTCCTTAACCCTGGCAGCAGACACTGTCAGACCTGGCCAGGGTGAAGTCTATGGAAGTGAACACCTGGGCAGGGATGCAGTCTAGTTGTCAGCATGAATTTAATGAGGCTGATGAGGTGTGCAGTATAAGTGTCTCTCAGGTTCCAGTTCTCCCAGTCCTGGCTATGCCTACCTCTTGACCCTGACCCTGTGTAGGAATCAGCTGGTTCCTCATCCACCCATTCCTGGGAACCAGGGCTACCTAGAGACAAATAAAATCTCTATTCCAGTCCTGGCCAGTGTGGCTCAGTTGGTTGGAACATGGTTCCATGGACTGAAAGCATGCAGGTTCCATTCCCAGTTGGGGCACTTTCCCAGGTTGCAGGTTTGATCCCCAGTCAGGGCACATATAGGAGGCAACTGATCGATGTTCCTTTCACATCAATGTCTCTCTCTCCTTTTTCCCCCTCCCTTGCCTCCCCACTTCTTTCTTTCTAAAGCAATGAGAAAAAAAAGTCCAAGTGAGGATTAAAAAAAAATGAAGTCTGTATTCTAGAGCTAAAAGATTATCATTTCTTGTTCACAATAGGAGAGCAGAAGCAGGGAGGTAGCAGACAAGGACATGCCTGTAATTCCAGAGCCAGAGCATGCCAGGGCCAAGCAAGAGCCATAGCCCTGTCTCTCCATTCAGGTCTCCCCCATTTCTGTAAATCACTGGCCCCATGGAAAACTGGAGCATCAAGGTCTGGTTTGGCCGGTAATCAGTTTCCTTGTGGGACAAGAGCAAGAGAAGTGGTCCCAAGTGGTCAGAGCTAGACTCAGCTCAGCCTGGAGCTGAACTGGGTTTGGAAAACCTGTTCTGACCAGGGCCTGCGCTCCCAGCCTTGGGCCAGGCTCTCACGGGATGGGAAAGAACAGACAGGCCCTCTGCCTCTGGGAACTTACACTCTGACCAGAGAGACAAGGCTACAATTATGAGAGGTTGTGTGACAGTCTGTAATTAAGTATCTGCTGAGGAAAAGCATTGTCTGAGAAGGAAGAAATGACTGTGAGCCAGAGGAAATGAGTTCTGAAGGGGGTTGGATTCAGAGAGACGGAGGGTGGGGCTGACATTCCAGGGACTGGTTTGTACAGAGTTAGAAGTACCGGAGCTTGGAGGTAAACGTGTATGTAGGGAAACAGTGAGTAGACTAATCTTGCTGATGCATCAGAGCTCTGGATAGAAAATCTGGGAGGGGTCCGGATGTTGTAGGCAGTGTTGAGCATCAGCTGAAAAACAGAGGCTTTGGGATGCCATGGGAGGTGTTAGAGCAGTGGCAGTCCAGTTGGAGGATTTTTTCCAGAAGATGAATCAGGCTGGAATTGGAGCGAAGCTTTGCAGGCATCTAGATGACATAAGAGGGCGAGCCTCGGGAGGAGCCCGTGGGAGTGGAAGGGCCAGTTGGGAGAGCGGAGGATGTTGAGGTGTGCCCTGAGGAGAGCTCAGCGGGGGGCCTGATGGGCCAGAAAAGATACTGGGTGCTGCTGCTTTGGGGCAGGAAATAACATTCTGAGCACATTGCTCGTACACCTGCTCTGTGCCAGGCTCTGTGCCAGGGCCTCCTCGGGTTCTCTCACGAAATCCTTACAACGAGCCTGAGGCAAATGGACTTAACACCTCCATTTAACAGATAAGGAGAATGTGGCTCCGACCCAAGGCTGGCTGTCTGCAAACCCTGGCTCTTCCCACAGTTCAGCTCCACTTTTTGGAAAGGAAGTTCCTACTGTTAGCATTGCAGGAATCTGAGTCTTCTTGCCCCTTGGGGACATGCAAATAAAGCCCACAAACCTTGCTTTCTGAAGATACGGAAGGTTGGGGCTGGGTGCCAGCTTAGACTTTCTTCAAGATGGGAGAGTCAGTGAAGTGAAGGGCCTTTGCATCAGCAGTTTTACTCACCAGGCTGTGAGCAACCCCCACAGATGGGCTGGTCCACCCGTGGGCAGATCCACTGGGCCCATGGGGATTCTCAGCTAACCCCCACCAGAGGGTGTTTCCTGGCCTGGTCAGAGGACTCAGTCACCCACAAAGGCAGGAAAGGGCTTGTCCCAAGGAACCCTCAGGACAGGAGAGCCAGGCGATGGAGCCTAGTTCCCAGTTCCCAGGCTACAGCCAGCGATACCCATTGGGCAGAGGGAAGGGGACTGGAACTTACCAAGTGGCTACCGTGGGAGGCCACAGTGGTTGGTCCATCGTGTAGCTGGAACACTGTAGGCTTGGTCACTCATTCTCTGTACGCCCCCCTGAGCAGGGCCTCAGCCCCGGGTGGGAGGCAGAGCAGCCACATAATAGGCACAGCCTCCGTGCTGGTCTCGCCCCACTCCTCCCTTGCCTTCTGCAAATCCCCAGGATCCACATGCCAGTCTGCTCAGGCAAAAACTCTCTGAGCCCAGCCGTGTGTAGGGTACGATTGTACTGCACCCAGGTTTTTAATACCTAAATCTGGGCAGAGGTTTTGATGCGAGATTTTTGTGTTCCTTTGGAACAGACACAGCCTGAAAAGTGCCATTCAGACATTGTAACAGTGGACTAGAGCAACCTGTGCCGTCCCTTCTGGTTAATGTTTCACTCTTTGCCCAACGCTTTCTTGTAAACTTGATCATGCTCCCATATATTCATTCTTTTTATTTTGTTTTCAGAACGTTGGTTGTATATCCCTAGTGTGTGTCTGGCTTATTTGCAGAGCACTTATATCCACCTTAGCTCAGTAGATCCTTATACAACCTTGGGAGACCATTACTATTCTTGTCATCCTTGCTTTCTAGAGTGATTTGACCAAGGTCGCTCTGGAAATCAGTGACTGAACTGCCCATTTATTCAGCAGATATTTATTAAGTGTCTGCTGTGTACCAGGTGGGGAGCTGGCCCAGGGATACAGTGGCAAGCAGGGCTGTCTTAGAGACTTAACTTCTGACCTCCCAGAGTCCACAGTATCACCCAGCTCTAGTCAGGATCCACCCCAACACTCCGGAGCTCTCCACCTGTGGCCTCTCTCACAGCATACCCCTGTATTTTGGGCCTGTGGCTTAGACCTAGACTGCTATAACCTGCGAGCACTCAGCCTAGAACATCATGGTAAAGCAAGGCAAAGCAGCAGGTCTCTGCAAACTGAACTTCAAAATGGATGGGAAAAAGTCCTCAGTAATGACTTAATTATTAACAAGAAGGTGAGGAAGGGCATCTCAACAAAAAGCCATCTGCTCTTTCTGCCCCAGGGGATGTCGCCCAAGGGCTGCTATACCTACAATCCTGGCCTGAATTTTCTTCAGTCTCCAAATATTTGATTACAGTCAGCACAGGTGTGGAGCCCTGTGGCCATGTGCTGAGCTGGGGACCCTCCCTGCCTACTTTAATATTAAATGAGTTGAAATAAAGGCAGATCCTAGGATATCAGTTCTACCGAGGACTCTGGCCCAGCCGCCTCACTTCCTTGGAGTGGGAACCAGTCCTGGGAGGGGAAGGGACTTGCCAGTATCACACATTGAGAAACATTCCTTCCCTTTCATCCATCTTCCAGCCTGTCTCTGTCTTTCCCCAGTCCTTCAAGCGGAATTCCCCCTCCTCTTAGCTATGCCTGTTCTGCATTCAAAGCCCTCTTCAAATCTTTTGAATTACTTAAGGCACAGGTAGTTAATTCCCTGTGGCTTAAGGTCAAGTTTTCCCTGACATTTTCGCCCATGCCTAGAGCCCTAAGGTGCCTAGGCTGCCCCCATCTACTCTCAGGCTGACTGTTCTGCAAGGCTGAACAGAGCAGCCGTTGAGGCAACTTAAAAACCCAGGCACCTGGGCTCTGGCCCCAGGGAGTCTGATGCCTGAGACCTAGAGGGAGGCTCCTCTGGGTGCATTTTGCTGAAGTTATTTTTGTGTGTAAAAATTATATTTTTACTGAAAAAAAAACACTACATGTATGGAATTAAACATTTCACGCTCTGTAGAAAAAAAGTGCCCAGTGAAAAATTAGTGTCTCTCCCACCTGGACTCCCAGACAACTGCGATGAACAGTCTTGACGTCTGTTTCCTTCCAGAAACGCTCTGCATATGCAGGCAGCTCTGTCAGTAACATCCCTTCTCATTACACGGATGGTGATGTAGTCTCTGCCTACTGTTCTGTGTCTCCTCTTCTTCGCACAGTCTCTCTCTGCTGTAGGTAGTTCCCTGTGGACGCGCACAGGTCCATGGCCTCCTTTTCCGTGACCGTGTGACAGTTCACCGACAGATGGACCACCAGTGGTTTGTGCGGTCCCCAGGCTCACACAGGTCGTTCCCAGTCTCGCTGCTTTGAGCAGCGCCGCAGCAGTCGCCCTTCCTCACAGGCCTGTGTGCGTGCGCCTGCGTGGTTGTGGGAGCCGTTCCTACAAGTAGAATTACTATTTCAAAGAGTCTGTGCACCTTAATTTTTGTTTAGATATTTTCAGATCACCTTCTTTTGCATTCTGAAAATGTATATTTTTAAGAGTACCCTGCCCCCCACCCCAGATTCAAATTAATTTCCTTGGTTAAGAATCATTGTTCTCCAGCACAGAGAGGAGAAGGTTAGCTAGTATCCCTCAGCAGTCGCCAGCCACTGAGGTGTCTCCAGAGTACAGTACAGATGGGAGGAAGTGAGGAGTGAAGGGAGGAAATGGGCTGAAGGGGCATTGGGACTGGAGCCAAGATTGGGGGAAGGAGACTGTGTTCTGGGTACCTTGGGACCTGTTTGTGACTTAGTCTCCAGGGAGAGGCGTCCCCCCAACCCCCTTGCTATATCCTCCTTCCTGAAGTTCTCTGGTTTGTGCTGCACCTGCTTGGCAACGGCTGGGCTGGCAAGCTCTCTCGTCCAGCAAATATTTACTGAGCTCCTGAATCCCAGAGCTGGCTTAGCCACTGTCCCTGCCCCTCTCTGAGCCTCAGTTTCCCTCATCTGAACATTAGTGGGGTTCATCCCTGCCTTTCTCATGTCACCAGGCTAGGAAGACTTGGTAAACCAACCAATGGGAAAACACCATAAAGTAGATTACAGTGGTCTTAACTAAACACTGTACTTGCAAGCACCCTGGGATTAGCAGAGTCTGAAATTTGGACCAGTCCTGGGTAGGCTGCTGCCAGTCTTAGCAGATGGCTTCGTCAGCCCTCAGGCATAATTTTAGGGCATCTGCTAGTGAGTGTCTTCTCCTGCTTTGCCAAGATAGGGTCATGCTGTACCTAAGGACTTCATGAATTTACTGTGTCTCAGTATTCCTGGTCCTTCAGGATAAAAGGTGTTCAGATGACAAGTGAGAGAGAGAGGTAGTCAGGGAGACCAGGAGGGTCTCCACACTGCAGCCAGAGTTTTGCCTCCTCCTCCAAGCCACCAGGGAGGCCCTTTGGGGTTCCCCACAGGTCATTTCTACAGCTCAGTCCTCAGTGGTGGCAGGAATAAGGAAGGGGAAGTTCTATCCTTTTTCAAGTTTAAAATCACCAGCCCAGTTCCTTCCTCTTGTTTTATCAATGGGGAAACTGAGGCCTGGAGTTGAGGGCCTCCTCCCAATTTTCCCAGTGAATCAGCAGCCTTACCAGGTACTCAGCTCCCGGGGTCTTAATTCTCAGCATCTTTCCTACACCGTCTCAGTCTTTAGTTTCACTTTGGGGTTAAAAACCAAAGTGAAAGGAAAAGCCAAAGCAGGAAGCGGCTGCAGCAGACCCAGCCCAGGCTGGGGCGGGCACTGGAAGATCCAGGCTGAGTTGGCCTCACTAGTAGCAGGGCAAGCCTCTTCCCCACCTGCTGCTCCTATCCTTGTTCTGGAGTCCTGGCTGCTGTGGGAGCTAGGTGGGGCCCCGAGGGAGAGGTGCCAGGCTGCAGCCAGGCAGCCTGGTGTTCTGGCCTGGGCCGCTGCTGTCTGGGAGACAGCCAGTCCAACGGGTTCCTGGTGAAGTCAGCTTCACCTGGGTGTGGCCCCAGGTGGGAAGCTACTGCCTTTTAAACTCCCGTCCTTCCGGGGCAGGGCTGAGCTAGAGCTGGGCCTGTGTTGGCCTGGGGAAGAAATCCTGGCCTTCTGAATCCAGCTTTCACAGGACAGTTCTACTCTCCCTGAAGGTAAGAGCTGGTGCCCTGCTCACCATGAAGACTTTAAAACTCTCGGTCAGTGTGGGTACTTACCTCAACCCTGGTGGTTTCTTCTTAAGGACCCAGATGGCTTGAAAGCCTTTTTGCCCTATTCCCAGTGCCAGGGACTTGGAGAGGGCGGGATGGGAGAGCAGGATCCATGGCTTCCTACTGTTGATAGTGCCCTTAGGCAAGCCCCTTTCCAACTCCGGACCTCAGATCCCCCGCTTGTTTCTTGGTAGAAGGGCGTTCCCTGTAGTTCTGCTATTCAATGAAGTTGATTTCGGTCCCTTGGAAGCTAGTGAGAGAGTATCATAACACCTGGTTTGGTTGGATTGTATGTGTCAAAGGTTACCTGTTATCTAACAAGCTAGGGTCTTAATTTCCTGTTCCTTTGTGCTTTTTCTAAGGAATTTCTTGCCAAAGCAGGTTATGGTAATAGGGTTGTTGTTTCAACAAATAGGATTTTCCTGTACTACTTTTCTCCTCTGGACAATCACAAGGTCCCCAAACACAGAGCCAGTTTGGTTCAGGTCCACTCCCTGAGGGCACAGGCTGAACACACAGGTGATCTGGAAGTTGTTGTTGAATGACTGCATTAATGATCCGCACCTGGCTGTGTTGCTCCCTGGGAATGTAGAAAGCTGGCATTTAGAAAGCTCAAGCGTGTACAACTGGGCCAGGCACAGTGAGGAGAAGCCCTTGCCCCAAAGGTCATGCAACCCGTAGTTAAGAGCATAGCTCTGGAGTCATACTGTTGGGCTTCAGATCCTGAGGCACCTCCCAGAGCTGCAAGACCTTGGACAAGTTGCTTAACTACACTGGGCTCAGTTTCTTGACCTGCAAAATAGAGACAATAATATTACCTGAGATTGGTCTCAGCATGAAGATAAGAGAATGTATGTAAAGCCCTGAGAGCAGTGCCTGGTACAGAGGAACCACTTAAGAAATGTTAGCTGCTGCTGTTATTGATATTGAAGGGAGAGAGGAGTCTTGAAATAGCTGAGGACTATGCATGTCTCATGCCTGGAAATGTGGAGGTGGGCTGCGTGGGGTGTCAGGAGGGGAGTTGATCATTTGATGGCTGTTTGCTGACTGCAGAGCTCTGCTGGTAAATATGCAATGAATCCAAGTAGGCTTTAGAGAGGTGACCTTCAGGACCTCAAAATTTGGGTAGGCTCCAGGTGGATGGAGATTTTAAGGGACACTGTGGGTAGGGAAAAAGAGGACGCTGCAGTTAGGGGAGAGGAAGACACCCAGGGGGTGGGAGGGATGGCAGGAGTTGGCTGTCCAGGGGCCAGAACAGCCAAGATCAAGCTGCAGAGGCCTGCCCAGAGCTGTCAGAGCCAGCCAGGCACTCAGAGCTGGGGTTTGTCTCTGCAGGGTCATCACTCCACAGGCCAGTTTCCTGCTGGGGGCCTTGATGAGAAGGCCATTATTGAGCGTGCTGTAAATAGATTTGCTAGTTCCAGCCTCTCCTGGAACTTTCTTGTCTTCCCAAGCTTCCCACGCTTCGTGATGAGGCTGTTGCCTTGCTCAGGGGTGTGGTAGCAGTCAGGAGCTGCCTGCCTGCAGCACAGGCCCGTGTGGGTAGGAGGAGTGGGGCTTGTCTGACAGCACCTACAAAGGCAGAGCTGCCGCTGCTACAGCTGCCCCAGCGCGTTCCTCAAAGGGGCATGTGAAGTAATGTGGTAACAGTCCAGGGGAAGAGGGTTTGGTTCATCCCAGTCAGCTCCTCCCCACCTCGGCTCCACTTCTGCTGCCAAACTATCAGCCATTCCTGTGCTCAGGGCACCAAGCGCGGAGCCAGGGAGAGAGCTGGGAAGAAGATAGATAGACTTGATCTCTTTTCCCATGAGCTTCCATCCAGTTTGGAATCCCCATCCAAGCAGGTAACAAGATACACAAGCCACTGTCAAACTGAGATAAGACCCCTGAAGGAAACACATAGGTGCTGAGAGGGACCTATTCAGAAGGCATCCCAGGGAAGGACGCAGTCAGGACAGGATTCGGGACCCTGAGGTGGAAAGTGTTGGGTGTACTGAAGGAACGAGGAGAGGTACTGGTACATCTGGCGCAGTCTGCAAGGTCAGGCAGGACCTAGAGAGGTCTGCAGCTAACACTCTGCTCACCCGAGAGGAGGTGGAGGGGCCACTGATTAGGAGGTGTGATGATTAAAGTACTGCAAGTGATTTTGTTTTAAAATGACACCAGAACTTTCCCATACTTATTACTGGTTTTCATACTGGTCATCAGTCATCAAGAAAAGGCTTCTTCAGCACTCCCAGGTTATTGTTAACTTCTTTTCACGTACCACTTTGTCGTCCACAAGGCCCTGTTGCTTCTGTTCCTGAGGGATGCAGGTTGTGCTGTTGTTGCTGCTCTTGGAGACAACATAACAGAGAGGTGAAGTTCTTTGTCCAAAGCCTCAGAGCTTAATCAAGAGTTGGTCCTGGTTCACTGGTTTTGTTTTTGGTTTTTTTTTTTCTATTCTACAACACTGCCTTTGTTTAAGAAAGCCAAAGGAGGAGTTACTAATTCTTTTTAGCAAGGCTACCATTCCAAAATGGTCACAGTTTAAAAGTTATTGGATAGAATGATATTGGGTTGGCCAAAAAGTTCTTTTGTTTTTTTTTTTCCATAAGATGGCCCTAGTAGTACTTAGTTGTCTTTAACTTCATTCGAAATAATTCTATTAAATTGTATTGTGACAACTGTCATAATAGCGTGTTTAAAAAACTTATTCAAAATTGGTGGATTTTTGTGTAGTGATTTTAATATTGAAAGTGGAAGACAGTAAGTGACATTTTTGGTATATTATGGTTTCTTATTTCAAGAAAGGTAAAAATGCAACTGAAACGCAAAAGATTTGTACACGATATGGAGAAGGTGCTATGACTGATGGAACATGTCAAAAGTGGTTTGCGAAGTTTCGTGCTGGAGATTTCTCACTGGATGATGCTCCACGGCCAGGCAGACCAGTTGAAGTTGATAGCAATCAAATTGAGACATTAATTGAGAATAATCAATATTATACCACCAGGAGATAGCTGATATACTCTAAATCAATTGAGTTATTAGTGAAAATGAAAACTGTGTCATTATTTTACGGGAAACACCACATGAACTTTTTGGCCAACCCAGTATAATAATAGTACTTGCATTAGGACAATGGGATGAAAATGACTTTTTTCTATTTTTTATAATATTACACAATATATTACAGTTAATTCTTGTTTAAGTTTTTTTTTTATGTCCACATAATCTCCCATTTAGCTCCTTTCTAAGGTTCTGTGTTACTAACATAATTAATCACCTCCAGTCTTTTTTATTTTCTGTTTGAATTCTTTTAATTTCTGTTATCTGAATCTCAGGAAAGAAATTATAAGCAAGTTATAAATCAGCTCCTGCTCACAAATATACTTAAATCAGATTTTTAAAAATTCATCCTTAAAGTAGTTCTAAATATTTTATTTTGTGACTCTTGGATTTGGGGTCAAAAAATGAAAGCAGTATGGTAGCTTGGGCTCATTTTAGAGAACTCTTCAGTAGACTCCTCAGCCCATTTTTTAAAATTGTGATAAAACGCACCTAATAAAAATTTCCCATTTTAACTCTTGAGGTGTACAGTTCAGTGGTATTAAGTACGCTCACGTTGTTTTACAACCATCACCACCATCCATCTCCAGAACTCTTTCATCTTGCAAAACTGAGACTCTGTACTCATTAAACAACACGATGTTTTTCTCTCCCTGTCCCCAGCAACCACTGCTCTGCGTTCTGACTATGTGAATTTGAGCACTCCAGGTCCTCATAGACCAGCCCATTTTAAGGAGGTGTAGTGGAAAGGGAGATCAGGTGATGTCTCTGAATAATTAACTCTTTTGGTGGTGATCAGTTCTCCAAATTAATTAATGCACACTGTAAATCTAAGCTTTATGTGACAGATTCCCGCAGAGTTGTGAAAAGAGACACAACTTTCTAGAGACAGTCTTGGCTCCAAAGCCCAGGGTGGCTTGGAGGTGATTGCATGGAGCCTGGCCACACAGCCTTGCTGTGGAGGTGGAGTGATGGAATGGGGAGGACTAGGGATTTAATCAGGTGACCCAGGCATAATTCCTCAGTTAGCAGCTACTTGCTGTGGGATTTCCGCCAAGTTCCTCCATTTCTCAGCCTCAGCTTTCTCTTCTGAGAAATGGGACGATACTTCTATCATGTGTACATCCCAAAATCAGTAAGATAATGGACTTCCCTTTACAACCTTGAGAATTCTGGAGTGTTCAAATGCAGTTAACTGCAAGGAAAATAGGGCTTCTGGACCCCATTTTATAGAAGAAACAGAAACTTGGAAGTGACTTCCCCAAGGTCATTTGGCACTTAAGTGACAAAATTGGCTGCAACCTAGCATCTCTTCCCTTACAGCCCTCAGCTGTGTAGGGTTCCTCATTGGTAAGTCAGTCTAAGAACAGTAGACTGTGAGGCAGATGGCTGCTTTCCCGTCTTACTGCATCCAAAACATCACCCAAAAAGTTCTGAAGTCAGTGGGCCCGCAAGAGAGGACAAGGGGTAAAGGTTTTTGTGGGGGATCAAGGACAGTGATTCTGCATTATGAGCATACAGTTTGAAATATTTCCGTGGTGATCGTCTTGACCAGGGACAACAAATACCTTGTACTTGGTAGTTACTTCCAATATTAGGCCCATGGCAGACACCATCAGTCAATCATCACTCTCCCTGAGCCCAGACACAGCTTCAGGATCCTACTTGACATAGGCAGGCACTGCGGTCGACCAAAAGTAGCACACCCAGTGGAACCTGTGCTATCTCCAACCTAGTACAGTCCCCAGCCTTTACAGATGGGTGGCAGTCCTGGGAGGGGAAGGGGCTGTTTGAGGGGTAAGTGATGTCACAGGTCTCTTTGTGAGCATGTCACGGGACAGCCCAGAGCCTAGGCAGCTGATCAGTATGCTTGCAAAAACTCTGGGGC